ATTGTCTTTACATGTAATTAGAAAAAAAATCAAATGCTATTTAAAAAGGAAAAGGAAAAGATAACCTCCAAGGTCCTTTTTCAACTCTAAGGTTCTAGGATTTCTAAAGATGATGTTTCTAAATTTTTTTGTGTTATACACCCTTTGGCAGTCTGGTGAAGCCTAGGAACTCCTTGGAATAATGTTTTTAAATGCATAAAATAAAAAGCAAAGGGTTATGAAGGAAACTAATTCTATTGAAAGTTATTAAGTTAAAAAAAAAAGTTCACATACACATATATCCCAAGTTAAGAACACTTGCTATTGAAAAAAAATTGCTTTTTACTTTTTTGTTTCATATAAAATACACATGTGCGGGGCAGGTAGGTGGCACAATGGATTGAGCACAGACTCTGGAGTTAGGAGGACCTGAGTTCAAATCCAGCCTCAGACACTTGACACTTGCTAGCTGTATGACCCTGGGCAGGTCACTTAACCCCAATTGCCTCGCAAAAAATAAATAAAATAAAATAAAATAGACATGTATGTGCGTATATAACACATAATCCCTTCACTAAAATCCCACTCTGATGCCAGGCAAGTCCTGGCAGTGCTCAGTGATGGACAATATGACTATTGTTGACCCACTTCACTAAATTCAAAGGAACTCAGCAAGTTATCAGAAGGATCGGGCATTTTTTCAGCTACAGCACTATTCAATATTGTCACCTAAGGCATAGGGGGATTGCAGTCTGCATCAACTGAAGGAGTATCCACACCAAGGAAATCACAACACTAAGAAAGGATGAAGTTTATACATGTATATGTATTTGTTGTTATTCAGTCATTTCAGTCATGTCTGACTCTTCATGACCCCATTTGGGGTTTTCTCATCAAAAATACTAGAGAGGTTTGCCATTTCCTTCTCCAGCTCATTTTACAGAAGAGGAAACTGAGGCAAACAGGGTTAAATGACTTCCCCAGAGTCACACAACTAGTAAGTGTCTGAGGCCAGATTTGAACCCAGGAAGATGAATCTTCCTGACTTCAGGCCTGACACTTTATCCACTGCACCACCTAGCTGCCCTTGTGTATATAATATATATGTATGTGTATGTGCATGTCTAAATGTCTAAATGTGTGTATACATTTTTAAAAATAGCTCAACATTTCCATTTCTCAAGTCTTTTATTTTAAAAAGGACAGGTTCACATAAACATAAGGATTTTCTGAACTTGAAATATAACATCGAGAGAGAAGCAACATGGCACTGTGTATAGAGGGCTGGCCTTAAAGTCAGAAAGACCTTGGTTCAACCCATATCTCTGACACATAACAGATTTATAACCATGTAAGTCACTTACTCATGTAAGTCACTTAAATTCTTGTGACTCAAGCAACTTTGTGAGACTAAGTTACAGATAAGATGATCTGTATTAGCAAAAGAAGTTTCCAAATGAATTTCCTGCACTAATGAAATCACAGGTCTGGACCTCCAAATGGAAATATGTGTGTTTATGTCTATGTGATAGACATATGTGTGTATATATGTATATGTACATGTGTATTGTATGTGTATGTTTTATATACACACACACACACACATATTTTAAGTTTGAAACAGTTAAGAGAATAGCTACACATAATTTTTTGTGATATGTTTATGGGACCCCCACCTAGGAAGATCTCAACTCATCTATAACTTACTGTTCTTTTTTTTTTTTGTGAGGCAATCGGGGTTAAGTGACTTGTCCAGGGTCACACAGCTAATGAGTATCATGTGTCTGATGCCAGATTTGAACTCAGGATCTCCTAACTCCAGGGCTGGTACTCTATCCGCTATGCCACCTAGCTGCTTCCTACAACTTACTGTTTCAGAATGTTGCCTAAGGCCTGCTGATGTAGAGACTTTTCCTGGGTCTTCCAGTTTGGAAATGTCAAGAGTTGGGACTTACACCCAGGTCCTTCTGATTCTATGTACATCAGCAGTCTATTCACTATACCATCTCTTCTTATTTCTACCCAATGAATTTAGTATCAAAGTGTCCAATAAAGAACAGGATATCAATAAAATGTTGATCACACCATGAACAAAATGTCGCAGCTACCAAGCCCCACCTCACCCCTAACTGTACTTGGCCATTATAGTTTTGCTATGACTTTGAGACCATGCCCATGTCACCTGAGTAACTCCCTATCAGGTCAGGACACTCTCAGGGCCTTTAGGATTACATCCTTGTAGGCTTAAGAGTGTCCAGTTGAACCAGATCACCAAAAAAATGATGGCAGATCTCCTCTGAAGAGCAGATGATTTGTCAGTTGTCCTTTTCCCAGCCTACTGCTTCAGATTAAATGGAAGTCAATGAGATGATGAAAGGTGACCAATAGTGAGATGTTTCTTGTCAGGGTAGTAAGACTGACAAAGGACATAGAACAGTGAAAATCAAAAATAGACTGATAATGAAGGAAAAATGAAAGAGTTTTTAAAAAAAGTAGAAATAGGAGAACAGCAAAAGGAAACCTTACCTTTTTCATTTGCATTCCTGGTAGGAGAAACTAATTTTTTAAAGTTTAAATGAAATGGAGAAATGGAGAATTCAGCATTTTCCCAGGAAAGCCAATCATGTAAAAGCAATACTAGTCTTGGTCCCAGAATACATAGAATTGAGCCCTAGTAACAATGCTTGCAGTACAAACCTGGACAAGTCACTTAATCTACCTAAGTCTCAGTTCTTCTATCCATAAACATGGAGATAATAATATATTTGTACTACCTATCTTACAGGGATGCTTAGGGAAAAGCAGTACCTAAACATGAAGGTTCACATGGAAAAACTTACATGAACTGATGCTGAATGAAGTTAGCAGAAACAGGAGAACATTGTACACAATAACAGCAACACTGTGCGATGACTAACTTTAATAGACTCAGCAATGCAAGGATCTAAGACAACTCCAAAAGACTCACGATGGAAAATGCTGCCTATGTCCGGGGAAAGGACTATGGAGTCTGAATGCAGATCGGAGCATTACTATGTGCTCTCTTTTGTTGTTGTTTTGTTTTGTTTCTTGTTTCTCATGGTTCCTCCCATTGGTTCTAATTCTTCTTTACAACATGACTAATGTGAAAAGATGTTTGATATGAATGTACATGTAGAGCCTATATCAGATTGCACACCATCTTGGGGAGGTGGGCGGGAAGGAAAGAGGAGAAAATTTAAAACTCAAAAGCTTATGGGGAGCAGTTAGGTGGTACAGTGGATAGAGCACCAGCCCTGGAGTCAGGAGGACCTGAGTTCAAATTCAGCCTCAGACACTTGATACTTACTAGCTGTGTGACCCTGGGCAAATCACTTAACCCCAATTGTCTCACTAAAAACAAAAAAAAAGCTTATGGAAGTGAATGTTGAAAACTAAAAATAAATAAATTTTAAAAAGAAGGAAAAAAAAACCATGAAGGTTCTACTGTGCTTAATGCATAAACAACGCAGTGCTGATGAAGTTTAAAAAAGCCACCATTTTTTTCTCAGTAGCATGAACACCTGATTTTCCCAGACAACAAATGGGTCACATAACTTTTTAACCCTCTACTTCACTTAGAATATAACTAATAGCTTTGTCTCTCTATTCAATTAGCTAAAGATAAAAGAATCAGTTCCTGATGATCAAGAAAACTACCAGTAGCTACAAATAAATACACCTGGGAGAAAATGTGCACATCAATCCTAGCAAAAAAGATTAGAATGCAATGATAGTTATGATGGAATTGAAAGGGTTAGGATGGTAATGTAAGTTTTAAAATCTAGCCAGAAGTGATGAAAGAAGAAAAAGAAAAACATGTCATGAAAAAGGAATGACATCTTCATGCAAATTGCTAAGAACAAAAGCCCTTAGAAATATTCAAATTGACATTAGTTCAGTCAGCATGCTGACCTCAAACTCTGACTTTGCAGTGCAAACTTGCAGAGATCTTTGAAGCGCTAAATTGTCACCAACTTCAAAGGGAACTTGGCATGTGAAGGAGACTCATGGGGCAAACCTGGCTGGAAGACAAAGGGAGAATTGGCGAGTTCACTCAGTCATTAATTATATGATAAAAATCACAGAATAGGGCTTTCAAATTCAAAAATCAAACCACCCAGAGGACTAGAAAACCACAAGCATAGCGTGAGGATCAGATCACCCAGACTGGACTTAAAACAAGGGGACCTGTCATATTTGATTCTCTGTTGATTCTCTGTTAAACAGCCAAACAACTTGTTCTAGGGGAGTCAGGAAGACCTGAGTTCAATTCCAACCTCAGATATGTGTGACCCTGTTGGTGTTTTTCTGCCATCTGCATTTACATTTCCTTAGGAAAAAACTGTTATTTCAGTTGTGTCCTCTTCATGACTCCATTTGGGGTTTTCTTGGAGTGGAGGTTTGCCATTTCCTTCTCCAGCTCATTCTTTCAGATGGGGAAGCTGAGGCAAACAGGATCAAGTGACTTGCCCAGGGTCACATAGTTGAGTAAGTTTCTGAGGCCAGATTTGAACTTAAGAAGATGAGTCTTCCTGACTCCAGGCCTGCCACTCTAACACCTCAACACTGAGCTGGCTATGTGACCCTGGGTAAGGTATTTAACCTCTTTTTTTGGCCTCAGTTTCCTAATCTGTAAAATGGGGATGACAACCTCTGAGGATTGTTGTGAGGACAAAAATGAGATAATATTTGTAAAGCACTTTGTAAACCTAAAGATGCTATTTAAGTGCTAATTAGTATTATTACATTATTATTATTGCTTTCAATCCATCCACAAAATGAATTTGTTATCTGAGAAAGCATTTAAGAATTTTTAAAGCTCAAAAAGTAAAGAAGGAGAAATGGAGGAAAAAATTACAAAGGGAAAATATATCCCCTTCCTATTAGCAATAAATCGATTAAAGAAACAAACTGGAAGTGTTTGCATGTGTTTAATCTATTAGCAAGCAGGACATTGTTTTTATAAAATTTATTTATTCATAGAAAATAGTTTCCAAAATTCCTTATAAAATTAAAAAGGGTGAATACAAATACATAGGAAAGGAGTTCTAATAAAATGGCATTCGTGGTTAATGATTTTTCAAATGATAGCTAACATGTAAAACACTCCTATCCGTGAGCACCAGCTGTCCCTTGATGAACCATCTCTATTTTCCCTGAGTCCATACTATTTATTGGAGGAATCAGTTTGGCAGAAGGAATGGCTCTCTTCACTCCTAGTTCTTCAGCTTCCTCCCAAGTGTTGGTCAAAGGTTTCCCGAGAGTTTCAGGGAGCATCAGCGTTAACATTCCAGTCAGAAAGGCTATAATACCAACCAGCAACTAGAAAAAATAAAATAAATTCACAGGTCATCAACAAATCAATCGACGGGCATTTAATAAATACCTACCAAGTGCCAGGGGTGGGGAACCTGTGGCCTTCTAGGTCCTCAAGTGCAGCCCTTTGACTGAGTCCAAGTTTTACAGAACAAATCCTTTTATTAAGGGCTGCCCTTGATTAATCCCCTTAATAAAAGGATTTGTTCTGTAAAACTTGGACTCAGTCAAAAGGCCGCACCCAAGGACCTAGAAGGCCGTATGTAGCCTCAAGGCCACAGATAAAGATAAAATAAAGGATAAATAGGTCTTTCCAAGAGAGGGAAAAAGAGCTTTGGAATTTATTTCAGAAGGAGATGAAGATGTTGTCCTACTTTGCTATGATTTTTACAACTGTGAGAGTGTTTCCTTCAAACCCACCAGATTTCTGGGTAGGTGGTACACTAAGGATCTGGAAGATCTTGGGGTCACTGCAGTTTATCACTGAGCAACACACTAGGGGGCAGTGTGGAACCATTTCCCTACAAATGTTCAGTGTGGATTTTGACTTTTCAACTCAAGCTGAACATGAAAATAGAAATCTGACCTGATGTATTAATAATTCACATTTATAGAGTACTTTAACATTTCTCATCCTTCCAATATCCTTGATTTCAAATTTGAAAAAGAACTGATGCATTCAATAAAAGAAAGGAACATTATATATTGATTAGAAGAGGGAGGGAGATAGGATTTCTTAATTCCTAAGAATAAAACTTTTTTTAATGACCTGGATGAGTTAAATTAGAAGGATAAATTTAGAACTGACTGTGAGACATACCTCTCAGCAACAGGCAAAACAGTCAATCAGTCTACACTGAACATTCATGGTGGGCGGAGCTTTATATTTGCTGGGAAGGGAAGGTTTGCTCTTCTTTACTATTAGGGAACAGCACTGCACCTGTGATTTTATTGGTACAAGAAATTCCCTTAAGGGAAGCTCCCTCTATCAATACAGATCAGCCAATTGAGGTAGAGTTGCCTAACATAGTGGTGTCAATTCAAACAGAAACAGATCCCTGAAGGCATATGTTGACTTAACCCACAAATTAAAATTATCTGTTGTACTGTATTTGTATTCCATTAAATATTTTCCAATTACATTTTAACATACCCAGGAGTGTTACTGGCTGCATACTTGACATCTCTGGCCAAGAGTACTGAGCAGTTAAGTGAATTACCCAGTATCATGAAGGCACAGGCAGGACTTGAACTCAGGTCTAACCCAGCTCCAAGACCACATCCACTAAGCCATGCTGCCTTCTATTTTTGTTATTATTTAAAATAAGCCAGGCCCTACCATGAAACTTTTTTTCCATGGGAAATATGGAACCTATCTCTTTAACCTGTTCTCTTTTGGGTCAGTGTTTAACTGACCTAGCAATGGAGAGGACCTGGGAGCCATATAGACCAACCCCCAAAACTGGGGAGACTGAGGCTCAGAGGAGTTAAATGACTTGTCTAAGGTAGCATCAGATGCAGGGTTTGACCTAGCTCTTCTGACTCCAGAACCAATGCTCTTTCACAAGAACCCCTATACATGAAAATGTATAGTTCACAGATAAGGAGACTTTATAAAAGACTTAGCAATACTTATGAGATCATTGATTTAAAGCTTGAAGGAATCCAGAAGTCATTCAAAACAACCTCCCCCACCCCTCACTCCAATTCAGTGATTTCCTATTACCTATCAATAGAATGGAAGTACATATTCTCACAGCCCTTAAAAAGAAACTACTGCCTCCTTGGGCATTATGTCAGCCACACATAAACTTCATAAGAAAATTTGCATTATTATTGTACAAATTTCACTTTTTAAAAAAATCAAAATAAAGCATAAAACCTAAGTTACTTGAGTTGCATTAACTGGCCAAAGAAAGCATGCTCAATTACACAAAGGTATTGTTTAAAAATATATTAGGTTGATTATATCAGATTGCTTACTGTCTTGGAAAAAGGGGGAGGGAGGGAAGGAGAAAAATTTGGAACTCAAAATCTTATAAAAATGAACGTTGGAGGGGCAGCTAGGTGGCACAGTGGATAGAGCTCCAGCCTTGGAGTTGAGAGGACTTGAGTTCAAATCCAGCCTCAGACACTTGACCCGCACTAGCTGTTTGACCCTGGGCAAGTCACTTAACCCCAATTGCCTCACCAAAAAAAAAAAAAATGAATGTTGAAAATTATCTTTTCATGTGATTGGAAAAATATACACTACTTATAAACATGTGTGTAGATAGATAAATAGATAGAGAGATAGTTGAGATTCCCCCCCACTTTCAAAAAAACCTACTTTTTCCAAATATAGGCTAACCGTAGAATGACATCTGATTGGAAGGGAAAAAAAATGTGCATGTACATATGTGTACATGTATAGAGAGGGACAGGGATTAGACACCTGATTTCACTGGTATATAAACTTTTGCATCAGGAAACTAACTCCAGCAATGAAGGTCAGGACCTTCTCTGCAACTTTTAGCCTTGTGGGTACTGAAAAATAATTGATTATAAACCACACAGCTTTTAAAACAAAACATTGAGGTAGAGGAGGGATCACGCCTATAACTAACAGGATATTTCAACTTTTAATTAAGGATCCATTTGAATTTAAGAAACTTGAGAATTAACCCCCACATACAGACCCAACCCACACAGCAATCAGGCTTCTCTAATGCCAGATGTGCCAAGCATAAAGCAGCAACTGCCATTAACACCTGATTATCATGAAAAATTGATTTTAATAGGAATCTGCCAAATGGCTGGATTCTCCAGCACACGCTTTGTAGTGTCTAGAGGCTTCTACACCTCTTTGCATCTGTAGGATCATATAAGAGTGCCTTGCTATCTGCTTTCCTATAGTGAGGTTTTGCAGTGTTTGCCCCAAATGAAAAAAAAAATCAGAGCTTTTAGCTCTGTTGAAGAAGCAACTGAGACAGCTAGAGGGTTCAGTGACTAGAGAGGTGGTCATTTTGAGAATTTCTACAAAGGGACAGGTCAAAACCACTGTGCCCCAAGAAGGCACTGTTTTCTCCTCCTTCCATACCAGCAGAAAGAGGCAGAGAATTCCACTGCAATTCCTGCACCATCAGCACAAAGCACCTTTCAGGAGTTTGGGACAAGTCTTAACAGTGAGGGAGAGCAAATGCCAAGCTAATCCTTCTGAAGGGCTGGACCAAATGAAGTCAGACTCTGAAATATCCAATGTTTTTCTTGAATGCTTCTTGCTGTTCAGTTGTTTCAGTTGTGTCCTGACTCTTGGTGACCCTAATTTGGGGTTTTCTTGACAAAGATACTGGAGAGGTTTGCCATTTCCTTCTCCAGTTCATTTTACAGGTAAGGAAACTGAGGAAAGTAGGGATAAGTGACTTGCCCAAGGTCACACAGCTAGTAAAGGTCTGAGGCCAGATTTGAACTCAGAAAGATGAGTCTTTCTGACTCCAGGTACTGCTCTCTTTCCTCTAGCTGCCTCAGTTACTTCTTCAACAGAACTAAAAACACGGATTTTTTTTTTTCTACTTGGGGCAAACCCTGCAAAACCTGCCACAGAAAAGCAGAAGGCAAGGCACTGTTATGTGATCCTGCAGGTTCCACCAGGGAGGGGTAGAGGGGGGTGGGGTGCAGAAACTACTAGATACAACAAGGTGTGCCCTGGAGAATTAAGGCATATTTGACAGATTCCTATTTAGATTCCTATTGAAACCAATTTTTCTTGATAACCAGGTGCTAACAGCAGTTGCTTTTTTATGCTTGGCACACCTGATCGCTGTGTGTGTGTTGGGTTTGTATGTGCAGGAGGGAGGAGAATGGTATCCTTTACCATTTACCATGACTAAGGGTAGATGCCTTTGGGGAAGGGACTGAAAGAGAGTTTGAAGCCCAATCTAAACTCTCACCCTCAGAACCTCAAAGTAGCATGTTAAAGCCATGGAACCTGAGGGATTATCTAGTTCAACCCTTGGATTTTACAGAAGAGGAAATGAGGCCCCCAAGAGAGGAGGTAACTTGGCCAAGGTACTCGAAGGTTCAATAAAGCTTTACTGAAACAGAGGCTGATTTGGGGTAGAGTCAAATGGAGCCTAAATCTCAGAAACTCACAGCTCATTAGAATTGAAAGGGACCTCAGAGAATGCTTGGGCCAACTCCCTCATTTTACAGAGAAGGAAATAAACCCAGAGTTAATGTCAGAGCAGGGACTAGGAAACAGGTCTCCTGACCCCTAATCCTGCCTTTTTAGCCACGTTGTTCATATATAGTCACCTTGAGGGCACAGACAACTGACCCTTCCAATAAATATAGCAGTGATTAGTCTAATGATAAATGACAAGTGGCTAAGCAGTGAGAGGGGCCTTCAATCCTTCCTGGCATACCCTGGACTGAAGATTACCCTGTTTCCTCTTCCTGGTGGGAAAATTTCAACAGTTTAGGAGGGCAAAGCTTCAAATGAAAGAAAAGTCTCAGGGACAGGGGGGAAGCAGATGCATATCCAGGAAGAAATGGACCTTCATGGACCTTCCTGGCCTTCCCTTGTTTCCCACTTCTAGTTTGGGGCAGATCTTGCTGCACTGATAGAAACCTCCTAACCTGGGACAAACATCTTCTCCTCCCTGGGGCTGCCCAGTCCCTATTTTATGAAGGGCTAAAGGCCTTGAAATTCCCCTCTCAAGTCACCACAATTTCAACATGGCCCTCTGCCACTCACTGAACTCATTATATCTAACCTACCACTATAAATCACTAATAATTAGAGAAATAGAAATGAAAGCAACTATGAGGATCTACTTCATACTCATCAGACAGGCAAAGATGACAAAACTGAAAAACGACAAATGTGGGAAAAGCTGTGGGAAAACAGGCACAATATCAATGACTCTTTTCTCTCTGACGCTCTCTTCTCTGTCAGGGGTGGGGAACCTGCAGCCTCCAGGTCACATGTGGCCCTCTAGGTCCTCAAGTGTGGCCCTTTGACTTCA